CCCAAAAAAAAAAAAAAAAAAAAAAAAAGACAAAAGAAGGATTTATTACTAGCAACTTAAGCCTGTCAAGACACACTTGGTGAACATTAACATCACTGAGTCTCAGTTTCCCCACTTGATTGTTGTGAGTATTAAATCAGCTAAATCGTTAAAGTTCTGTACGTAGCACATAATCAGTACTCAGAGAAGGTTAACTATCATTATTAAGTATTTCAAAGTGTTAAGCCAATGTTTGAAATTAGTTTAACATTTGTGATTTCTGGCCAACAGTGATGCTTCTGTCAGCAGGAGATCTTCCTGAAGTTTTGCTTAGAAGTGAAAGGATCCTGTTAGCTCGAGGACTCTGTCTGTGCTACAGTCAGATTTCAGGGCGAGTCGTACGGGGTCCAGCTCTGAGTTTGGACTGGTCAGGACCCAGCACCCTCCTGTCCTTAAAGCTACACTGGGCCCAGTTAAAAATTGGATGGTCCCAATTTTACTCCATCACATTCCCAGGATTAGACCAGAGGTGGGTTTTGCAAACATTGCTAGGCCCTTCCCTGCACTGTAATGTCTAGAAAAAAGCCCCCATCGCTGCCCCCACTCTGAAGCATCACCAAGTCCCTGGTGTTGGTGTTCAGTCTTGGCTGTGCCTTCTTCCCCAGGAGATGGTAAGGTCCCTGGGTGTGAGTGAGAGTCCCCTCCCTCTGTATCCCCCTCTCACTCACCCCGCAGGGCCCCGCACAGTGTAATGAAAGCACAGGAACCAGTCTTAGCATTGTTTAGGACACATTTCTCAAAGTGTAATGCCCATGAAAACTGATCCAAATTCCCTGGGGAGCTTTTTAAAGATACATGTTTCTTGCTGGTCCCACATGGCCTGAATCAGAATCTACAGTGGGGGTGAGACCAGAGCATGTGCATTTCTAACCACACACTTCAGGTGATTCTGATGTGTAATGAAGTAGGTGAGAGGTGGACTGGGGTATGGTTTGAGAAGTGGAAGCATGGGTAGAGGATCCTAGAATGATGCCAGATTTTATCCTTATTGTTAGCCATTTCTTTCCTCCCTGCCTCATACTCTCTCCTCGGTTGCTTTCTGGGCAAGCAAAGGCTACCAAGGATGGCTTCCTGCCCATACCCCAGTGGGCAGATTCAGCTGTCCAGGGCTCTCCCTTCATCCAGCCGCTGGGCCCACTGCAGATGCTTGCCGGAGTCCTCACCAGCTGCTGGGAGGGGAAAGAGGCAGGAGGTCAGGCAGAGGCTGGGAACACAGCTGCGGCAGCCCAGGGCTCCATTTCCTCCTCCAGCTCAGGCCTCTGGGGCAGAGGAAGCCCAGGCAGGAAGGCCAGAGCTGCCACCAGTCAGAGAGGCCCATGAAGCCCCCCACCCTGCCACCCATCCTGCCCTCAGAGCCTCAGCATCTTGGGTCTTCATTTGGCACCATTCTCAGACCATGGATCTTCTGCAGCCTATGTGGTCATATGCTCAGCCCTGCCAGGCTCACCATGTTATGCCAAAGGACACTCCCTTCCTCATGTTAGCTGCCCTGCCTGGAGATCCAGTTCCCAGACACACACCTGCACACTCTCCACCATTCACAATGTCCTTGTGGCTGTCTAACCACAGTCCTTCTTGCTGCAGCCTCAACCTATATCTTCTGGTTCTAAATCTCTGAGAAATGAAGAGTGGGTGGCTTCTGAAGCACTAGTTGGTTTGGAACCTGGACTGGGAACTATCGTAGACCAGAATTACTTCCCTTAACACTCTCCACCAAACTTCTGGAAAAGTTCAACCCCAGCCAGCCATGAAAGGTCAAACATTCAATGTTTAAGCGTGTTTCACTTCCCCTACCACGTCACTACCCTCTCTTCATCCTTTCCCAGGACAGTAAGAAGCGAGAAGGGGGCCAGGGAATGGCTCAGAGAAGCCATCTTATACTCTGGTCAGGTTGCAGAGAGGTTCCTTTACACCTGGCATGACACGGCACTGTCCAAGCTTTTCATGATTGTTACAACACTGAGGGTTCAGACATAAGCTGCCACCACTGGATTGGGAGACAAATGGAAAGAGCACTGGACTGGGAGTCTGGACACCTGGGTTCAGTACTCCTGCTACTGCCACTGAATCCTGTGTGACCCTGGACAAGTCTCCTCCCCTGTCTGAGCCTTAATCCTCTCTTCTCTAAAATAAGGAGCTGCACTTTGTGATTCAAAAAGTATCCTCCTGGGGCCAGCCCGTGGCTCGCTTGGGAGAGCGTGGTGCTGACAACACCAAGTCAAGGGTTGAGATCCCCTTACCGGTCATCTTTACAAAAAAAACACCAAAGTATTCTCCTAGAGTTCTGTCATGTGGGTTTCTCAGCCCACATGGCTCCTCCAGACCATGTAGCCCCTCCAGCCTGTCCTGAGAATGTGCCCTTAATTCCCTGCTGTGCGTGACTCCTGCCTGTTCTATCCAGACCCCAATCTAAACAATCTTGATTCCTGTTCCTGGCTTGGCGGGACCCTGAATGGCAGGAAGTGAAGACAGGAGCCTGTTTATGTTTGAGGCAGCCAGGGCTGGGGGGTGGGGGCATTGGGAAGGGGGTAGGCACGCGTGGATGCTGGGAGGCAGTGGGCAAGAGGCAGAGGACAGAAAGGTTAGCGGGGGGGGGGGGGGGCTGCTGAAGAGACATTCCTTCCTCCCCAGCCCTGTACCCTCTGTGGCCTTCCCAGCCTGCCTCAAGTCAGAGCTCAGCAGCAGGGGTGCAGAGCTGGGGTCCCCCAAGCTCTCAGTCATTTAAACATGGCTCTCCACTCTTTACCCCAACAGGATGGTTTCCATGGGGAAGTGAACCAGGACTTCCCCTGCAGGCCCCGCCCCAAAGCCCATTGCAGGGAGCAGGGAGGTGGCCTCCCTGCCTCTCCCCCCAAAAACTCTTAGTGATTTCCTCTGGGTGGGAGAGAGCCACAGCCTGAGGCCATCACATTTTGCAGATCTTACTGCACCTTGTCTCCTGCTCCTCTCTTCAGGCACCATGAACTTGGGCCCCCCCAGGAGGGGCCTTCTGATGCTGCTGATTGCCTTAGGCCTGACCCAGGGTGAGTATGGGGTGGGAGTTGGGGGGGGACAGTTAGGGAACAGGGGCCTGGTTGGAGAAAGGGCTGTCTGGGCTCAGCTCAGCTCTTGCTGGAGCTGAATTTGAGGAGCTGAGGAGAGAGAGGGCTTAGGAGCTGGGCTGGAGGGTGGGGGACAGAGAGGCTCAGTTAGACTGAGCTCCCAGCTCCCCCACCCCTCTTTTGTTGTCCTCTTGATCCAAACCTGCAGGCTGGTGCTCTGTCAGGCTCCAAGGTGGGGACCTAGAACTGGGGTGAAGGGAGTGGGGGTGTTGGCAAGGAAGGCCTGGGAGAGCCCTCAGGGCTGAGGCTGGGGGCCAGGGCCAGGCCTGGAACTGGGAGGGAAGGTCCTTGGATCTCAGAGGAGACAGCAAGCCAGCCCTTGCTGGGGGTAAGGCTCTAAGGGAAGGATGGCCTGAGGAGGGGAGTAAGGGAGCAAGGCCTAGAGGGGGTTGAGGGGTCAGAAGAGGAGGGGGGATGTGGGACAGAAACGGGTGTTGGGCTCAGCCTGGGGGAGCTGGGCCCAGAGTGACTGGGCTTCTGGTGTGTCTCCCAGGCAACCCCTTCAAGCCCTCTCGGGGCCCGCTGGTAACCTGCACATGTGAAAGCCCACATTGCAGGGGGCCTACCTGCCAGGGGGCCTGGTGCACAGTAGTGCTAGTGCGGGAGGAGGGCAGCCACCCCCAGGAACATCGGGGCTGTGGGAACATGCACCAGGAACTCTGCAGGGGACGCCCCACTGAGTTTGTCAACCACTACTGCTGCTATAGCCCGCTGTGCAACCACAACGTGTCCCTTGTCCTGGAGGGTACGTCCCCTGCCCCAACAACCCCTCCCCATCTTCTCGGACCCTGCCCTCCTGCCCTCTTTCCTCTCATGCTCTGACCAGTAAGGGAGGTGAGTGGGAGGCAGGACCCTGGGGTCTGACTGGCAGAGTGGTCTGGCCCAAGGTGGGGGGAGCTGGCCTGGCAGAAACTGGGCCTCAGTGTCCCCCTCCCCCAGCCACCCAAACTCCTTCGGAGCAGCCGCGAGTAGATGGCCAGCTGCCTCTGATCCTGGGCCCTGTGCTGGCCTTGCTGGCCCTGGTGGCTCTGGGTGCCCTGGGCCTGTGGCATGTCCGGCGGAGGCAGGAGAAGCAGCGGGGCCTGCACAGCGAGCTGGGCGAGTCCAGCCTCATCCTGAAGGCATCCGAGCAAGGGGACAGCATGCTGGGGGTATGGGCCTGGGGCAACCTGGGATCCAGGGTGGGGGGTGGGTACACAAGAGCCACAGAATCAGAGGGGGTCACCCAGAGATGTGAGCAGCAGGGAGCTGAGCGAGTGAGGAGCATGCAGTGACACAGCAGCAGAACCCAGGCTGAGGACAGAGAAGGGGCTGGTGGGGGCAACCTCTCAGTGGCCTTTTGGTACCCCCAGGACCTCCTGGACAGTGACTGCACCACAGGCAGTGGCTCAGGGCTCCCCTTCCTGGTGCAGAGGACAGTGGCACGGCAGGTCACCCTGGTGGAGTGTGTGGGTGAGTAGTGGGTGAGCACAGGGCATAGGGACCAAGGGTTCCCAGGAGCCTGGAGTGGTGAGGGAGATCTTGGCTTTGGAGTCATAGGTGGGGCCAGGCCTGGGTCAGAATGGGAATTCTGCTGGGCACGGAGTGGGCTGGAGATAGGCCAGGGCTAGGTTCTTCCAGGAGTTGGGTGAAAAAAGAGGCAGTCGGGGTGGCCTGCAGCTGGGTATGGGTCTGGATCAAGTGAAGCATAAAGGTCAGAGGTTCTGCAGGTGGCGTCAGCACAGCATCAAAATGGGGACGGGGGCTCTTCCCGGGCTGTGTGTGCCCAGTGTGTGACCCTTGCCCTCACCTCTGGCTATCGGATCAGGAAAAGGCCGCTATGGTGAGGTGTGGCGGGGCTTGTGGCACGGTGAGAGTGTGGCCGTCAAGATCTTCTCCTCGAGGGATGAACAGTCCTGGTTCCGGGAGACCGAGATCTACAACACAGTGTTGCTCAGACATGACAACATCCTAGGCAAGGGGTGGGAACACCATGCCAGGGCTGGGACTCTCATCCCCCTGCCCTTAGGACTGAAGTCCACAGACCTCCCGACATGACCTAACCTCCAGCCCACCTTCAACCCCAACCTCTGACTCCAGCTAAGCCCCACCCCACCCCCAGCCTTGCCTGACCCTGACCCTGACCCTGACCCGGACAAGTCCAGCCTCCCTCATCCCCAGCCCCTTGGCTGAGTCGCCCGACTATCTGCGCACAGGCTTCATCGCCTCGGACATGACCTCCCGCAACTCGAGCACGCAGTTGTGGCTCATCACGCACTACCATGAGCACGGCTCGCTCTATGACTTTCTGCAGAGGCAGACGCTGGAGCCCCAGCTGGCCCTGAGGCTAGCTGTGTCCGCGGCCTGCGGCCTGGCGCACCTGCACGTGGAGATCTTCGGCACGCAGGGCAAACCGGCCATCGCCCACCGCGACCTCAAGAGCCGCAACGTGCTGGTCAAGAGCAACCTACAGTGCTGCATCGCCGACCTGGGTGAGCCGGGCGGGGCAGGGGCGGGCCTTCGCCGGTGGGCGGGGTTCGCGTTCGCGCGCTCCTTTGCCGGCTGGTGGGCGTCGCGGTGACTGGCGCTTTACAACTTAGGGATGTGTGCTGTCTCATTTCACCTGCACACGAGCTCCACAAGTTCTCTTAGCACCCTTCTCAAGCTCAGACTCCTATCACACCATCCTGGCTCCAGCAGTTGCGAGAAAAGGGGCAGGGAGCCAGGAACCTGGGTTCCCATCCTGGCTTCATGGACTACATCGCCCCTGCCCCCCCAGGTTCTGCTCTGTGAAATGGGCACAGTCATGTCTGCTTGCCTACTCGCATCTCGCTGGGTTCTTGGGAACCTAGAGAGTGCTGTTCAAACAAAGGGTAACTGAGACAGTTGGCCTCTGTGGCCACTGCCTTCCAGCCCACCTCAGGGCAGCTCTGCATTTGCCTGCTCCTCTGTGTCCTACCTTCTCTTTCCATCTGTGTCTTGCCTGCTTCCTGGACTCCAGCCTTCAGGGGCCCCCTGGCTATGGGCTCGGGCAAGTGGCAGGAGTGACAGGCCTTGTGCCCACAGGCCTGGCTGTGATGCACTCCCAGGGTAGTGATTACCTGGACATCGGCAACAACCCGAGAGTGGGTACCAAGCGGTACATGGCGCCAGAGGTGTTGGATGAGCAGATCCGCACAGACTGCTTTGAGTCCTACAAGTGGACCGACATCTGGGCTTTTGGCCTGGTGCTGTGGGAGATTGCTCGCAGGACCATTGTCAATGGTAAGGGCCCATCCTGCACAGGGCAGGGGAAGGAGAACAGGGCAGGTGGAAATAGGGGCTTCCTGCCATGGCTGGTGCCCATGGCCAGAGGTGCTTGTGGCCAGACCTGGCATCCCTTCACCGCCACACACCAGCTGGGTCAGCTGAGTGACCTTTTAAGGTTCATTTGAGTCTGTGAGTCTGGTTGTAATCTTGGGTAAGTGATAATAATAGAAATATTAATAGCAGCTAACATTTATTGAGCTTAAGTATGGGCCAGATGACATGCTTTATACTAGACATGTATTATCTTATTTAGTTCTCCTGTATTGGCAGGGCGGTGGTATTGCGTAGTGGTTAACAGCATAGGCTTGGAATTAGATTGCCTGTATTCAGTTCCTGATTTTGCCATGACCAAGGGCAGGCTGCTTAACCTTTCTATGCCCCAGGTTTCTTATTTGTTAAATGAGAATAAAAATAGCTTGTAGTTGTTGAGGTAATCCAAGTAAAGTATTTAGAACATTATCTAGAGCTAATTATTGGTGGCCATTGTTGTTAGAATGAGTGCTTGACCTAGTATTGTCCCCATTTTACAGATGAGGAGACTGAGGCACAGGATTGCAGCTGGCTAGAGGCAGCATCAGAGTCTGAAACCAGGCAATCTGGTTCTGGGGCTAGTGTTCTTTATCACTATGCCCACTTCAGCTTCTCTGGTCCTTGATTTCCTCATCCACAAAAATGCAGGGTATAATAGTGCCTGCACTTCCTGTTTATTGCTGCCTCATTATAACTGTGCGTTGCCACAGGGGACTCCGATTTGGAGGGGCTGGGAGCAGGTAGAGGGATCTGCCCTGTGGTCTACACCTTCTCAGCCCTCATGTGGACAGAGGACAGGTGGACAGGTGGGAGGAATGTCAGCCCTTGCGATTGCTGCCCATGATGAGGGGCTGCCAGGGGTCCTGACAGGTTAGAGATAATCAGGATATGATTGGAGCCCTGCTCCTTGGGAACAAGGACATTCTCATTCCCTGAGCATCTACCAGGAGCCAGCCCCATGCCAGACTTAATTTACCCTCAATGACTGACAGCAGAGGCTGAGGTGCCTCTAGTCTCTCTGGGAGACTCTTGAGGGTCTCAGATTCCTTGAGACTCTGAGCATGACTACCAGTGTGGGCTCTATTTAGGAGTCTGGGGTTCGGGGAAGGGGACATCAGGAAGAAGCTAAGGCCCCTTGGACCAGGCTGCAGGCAGAAAAGGAAGGGCTGGGAAGGAGGCTGCCTGCAGGCTCCTGGGGCGGAGGGGGAAGCTTCGTCAGCCCCACACAGATTCTCGGCGCATTATAAACACTGTAATCTGGTGTCAGCCCCGGCACTGATTAAAGGCCCATTAGACACGCTCAGGCCTCTGTGCAGCACTGATTAGGGCGCGAGCGGCACAGGGGCCGGCCTGGAAGCCAGCCATGGGGAGAACAGCTGGTGAAGGCGCTGCTGAGGTTGTGGCCTGTATGGCCATGGCCCCCAGCCTCAGGCCAGGAAGCAGGACAGGGCATGGGGCTGTCTGCAGCTCCATGGGCACTGTTTTCAGAAAACTCCTACTGAGGGCTGGGCACTTGGGATAACCTAGGGAGGAGGGTGCTACTGGCTGTGGGAGTCAGTGGAGGCCTGTGCCATCCTTGACAGTGGGTGGATGTTATTTGGACCCAGGTAAAAATCCCTTTTTCTTAGGAGAGGTGTTTTCTGCCCCTCCTTGTCCTTGTTCCAATCCTCATCCAGCAATCAACCAGCCAACCTCCCTTAAGTGTAGCTTGTAGGTCAAGAGCACAGGTTTAGTGTTAGACTTTGTGGACTTAAATTCTAGCTGTCACTTACTACCTGTTAATCTTAGACAATTTTCTTAAACTCTCTGGCTTATAAAGTGGAGCTAATAGTGTTACTTATGTCATAGGGCTGCTGTGAGGATTTAATGCAGAGCACTTAGGACAATTCCTGGCACATAATAAGTGCTCAGAAAACATTAGGTGTCATTATTATCAGATGACTGTGATAGTCAGGGCCTGGAAGCAGTATGTGGGCCTGGGTGGAAGGCAGCTGTACAGAGACTGGAACAAGGTCTGGCCTTGGAATCCAAGGAGATGGGTGTGAGTCTTAACTCCGCCATCACTAGCTGGTGATCTAGGGCTCAACTTCCCTAAGCATCAGTTTCTTTGTTTATAAAGTGGGGGTAATAATAGTACCCAGCTGATAGGGCTGTTATGAGGACTAACAGGACAATGCACGTAAAGTGTTCACAGTACAATGCCTGGTGCATGGGAAGTGTGAAAAAACGGCAGTAATTATTATTAGTTATAAATATATTTATTACATAATAGTGTACTCTCAGGGGCAGCACAGCGAGGCAGCTGGTTTCCTGGCCCCTGGGACAGAGGTTGGGTGGGGCTCTCCTTTGGCGGGTATTGGGCCTCCTTGGGGTCTGGAGTGATTGTCCCGTCCACCCTCCATCTCCAGGCATTGTGGAGGACTACAGGCCACCCTTCTATGATGTGGTGCCCAATGACCCCAGCTTTGAGGACATGAAGAAGGTGGTGTGTGTTGACCAGCAGACACCTACCATCCCCAACCGGCTGGCTGCAGACCCGGTGAGGCCTCAGCTGCGGCTGGGATGGCACGGGGTGGTGGCTCACAGCTGGGACTTCTGGGCACAGGGGCTTGTGTCTGAGGCCTATACTTCACCTTGCGTAGATTCTGGGTGTCCTGGGGGAGGGCCCCTCCCTGGGTACTCCCTCCCACATCCCTGGCCTGTGCCCCCCACAGGACCCTCTGGTCATTCTGGGTTTTCAAAAACCCTTTACCTTGCCTGTGAAAAGTTAGAGGCTTGCGATGGAGTTTTTGTTGTTATTATTTGTCCTCAAAACACTCCACATACTTATAGGGAGACATGCACACGTGTATATAAACACATAAAAGCATGCATTTGTTTCTAAACCTGTACTCACAGATACACACACATGGAACATTTATGTCAGACTGTTGGCCCCATGAGGACAAAAAGCATGTCTCTTTTGCTAACCCTTATACCCCTGTTACCTGTCACAGAGCCTGGCACACAATAGGTGCTCAACAAATATTTACTGAAAGAATGAACACTTGTACACATGTACACACACATTTGACACATACATTTCTGTACAATATACATAGCTGCAAAAAGCCACATATATGCATTCCTGTGCACACACAAACACTCACTCTGCAACCAGAGAAGAGTCTGGCTCATTCTAGGACCACTGAGTTTCTTGGGATGGGTTCCTCCCTGGACACATGCATTTTTAGGGCAGCACCCACCACCCACATTTCCACTTTCCACTGGGCCCAGCCATGGTTGGTGGAAGGGCTGGGAGACACTGCCCTCTGCACTGGGATCTCAGGCTGCAGATGGGAATGCAGGAGCCCCAAGGCTTGCAGAGTGGACTTTCCTGGGGATCCTGGGGGAGTGGAGGTGGGGGTAGGGAGTTCCACAGACACTACTCACCAAGGGGAGCTGAGTGCCCCTGAAGATCTGAGTTCTCATCCTATTTCTGTCCTGCCTGCCTTTGTCCATCCACTATCTCACTCCACTCTCTTCCTCTTCCATTTTTTATCATTCCTTTTGCTCTCTTTTCCAACACTCTCATCTCCTTCTCGTCCTTTCTCTCGTTACTGGTCCCTCATCCTGCACTCCTCCTTTCCACCTTCCTTGGCCCCTGCCCTTCCTTCCTCTTCTCTGCCTCTCTCTTCCGGCCCCTAGCTCCTCTCAGGCCTGGCTCAGATGATGCGGGAGTGCTGGTACCCCAACCCCTCAGCCCGCCTCACTGCGCTGCGGATCAAGAAGACACTACAGAAACTCAGCAACTGTCCAGAGAAGCCCAAAGTGATCCACTAACCAAGGGGCGCCTGACTCCCCTCTGCCTGTGGAGCGGGGTGGTGGTGGATGGTGGCCTATCTGGGTAGAGGTCATGTGAGTGTGCGTGCTTGGGAGGGGGTGCCCCTCTATGGGGCAGCTGCGCCTGCCCAGCTCGGCCCCCAGCCCATCCAGCCAAAAATACAGCTGGGCTGAAATCCGATCCCCCGCCGTCTGGCCTGCTCAAAGCGACAGGCTCCCTGACGCCTGGCTCTCACCCCACCCCCATGCCAGCAGGGTGCACCCCCTACCACCCCCAGGACAGGAAGCAAAAGAGGCTCCAGAGCCAGGGTGGCCAAGCCAGGGAATCCCAGTCCCAACCCCAGAGCCTGGGCCTGCTCTTTACCCCCTGCCCTTGGTCAACCCCACTGCCCCACCAGAGCTGCCAGGGTGGCATGGGGCCCTGTCCAGCCTTCAGCAGACACACTGCCCTGCCAGGTCTCAGCCTCTGGCACAAATCCCAGATACCCAGGGCCCATCAATTTCTCTCTGTGGGTTTGTATCTCAACTCCACGACACCTTGGGCTTTCTGTCTCCCTGACAAAACACTGGCTATTGAATGCCAGCTGCCTGGGAGAGCTGGAGTCTGACCCTGCCCCCTGACCCCCATTATCCCAGCTGACTTATTAGGACTTAAAAACCGAAGGGGTCCTGTTGAGGGTGTGGTAGGATTATAGGCCAGTGGAGAGGTGGCAGGTGGGATGCGTAAGGCCCAGGGCTTTCAGAATAATTGAGAGAATGTCAAGGCCAAGCACAACAGGGGGAAGGCTTTGGTGGGAGTCAGAGACCCAGGTATGATCCTGGGTGCTTGCTCTACCTGACAAAAGCAGGGCCTTCAGTATCTCAGCACTTTGTTTCTTCATCTACATATTGAAAGATTTGGGCCTTATGTCCTTTGAGGCTTTTTCCCCTCTAATTTTCTTTGAAATTTCAGCCTACATCAGAGCTAAGTGCATCAGTCTCATGTACTCCTTATGCCCCAGCCCCTGGCAATTTGCCTTGAGATGGGGGTTGAAAATAACTTTTGAGTCCAGGAGTTTCTGGAGCACCTTCTAGTCTAATTCTGCAAGCTCCAGTTCTTGCCTTAAACCATACCAGAGGCCAACATTGGGCTCAGATAGCGCTGGGCCTTGTGGCCAACAAACCGCCCCTCCCTCCTCTGTGGCTTAGTCTTCTCTGTCCTGGGGTTGAGGGGCAGCTTCCTTTCGGGCCTCCAAGCCTCAAAAGAAGTTTAGTTCCATACAAGAAGTCTTCAGCACCCAGGTTCCTGCTCCCCACTGACCCCGGCCCAGGCCCACACCCTTGGTGAAGCCTCAGAGTACATCTCAGGAGAACTCAGTGGCTGAGAAGCACATCGAAGGCTTGGCATTTGGAAATGTCAAGGGTGTATATCCATGTACTGAGCAGGTTACCCTGGACCCTGGATGGGCAGATGGGCTGGAAGGAGGTGGGCTAGAGGCAGAGTTTGAGGGGGTGTAAAGAAGCGAGTGGGGGTGGGTAAGGATGGGTGTGGCTCAGGCCAGGGACAAGAACAGCCCCAAGCTTGGGAAAGTCTATCCTAGCAGTGCTCAGGCCTTGGGGCAGGGCAGTAAAGAAGTTCCCATCTCCCCCTCCTGCTGTAAATGACACAGCACAATCTCCCCAGGCAGGCTCTTTGTATGTGTCTTCCACCGTCCTCACTGTGGCACTTTCCCAGGCCTGTCTCCCAGGATTGTGCAAGGCCCAGAGGAGAACCAGGAAGTGAAACTGGGTAAAAACAGAAAGCTAAATGGACCAGCTGAGTTCCCAGATCTTTGGGGCAGAATTTGTACGTCCTCTGGTCACTGGAACTCACCCGGCCTGGGAATCAGTCTCCCTCCTGAAGGATTTTTTTCTCTACTGGATTTGAGGGCAAACTGCTCCTGAGGCTCCACAGCCAGAAACCAAAGGCAGCAGCTCCCCAAAGGGTGGGAAGTCCCTAAGAGAAGGTCTGAGGCAGGAGGTGGAGTGATAGGGAGAGGATTGAAAGAAGGGGGCCCAGCGGCCAGAGAGGGAAGGAGGTGGCACTGGTGTGAGCAATCTGCAAATGCTTCTGTCTCAGTGCAGGAAAGTGTTCCAGGGTGGAAATGACCCTTCTCTTACCTGGAGATACCGTCTGTGGGAGCACTTAGAACGTGCCTAGCACATAGTAGTCCTCAATAAACACTGGTTTAATCCCGAGCTCCTGCAGAGACTTTCCAGGCTGTTGCCTCTGCAGTGGCCCATCTCAGAGGTCCAGATGGCACTGGAGGGGACGGATAAGGAGACAGGCCCAGAATACATGCCCCGCTTTGTCCTTACACAGGTCACAGTTCCCGCACAACCCTGCGCCCCGCGTTTAGCGGAGCCCCAAATCTCGGTCCCCTCGGAATTGGGAGCGGCCTGATCGCCGCGCCCTGCACGTCGCCCTCTGCTGGCCCACGGCTGCCCAGCGGCCGCCTCCCTCCCTCACGTCGGGCCGGGGCCTTTCCCGGCAGGGCGGGGACCTCCTACCCCGCCCCGGACGCCTGCGTGCGTGCGTGCGCTCAGCCGGCCGTCTATGTGTAGGGACTGTCCCCCCCGAACACCACACCTAGCAAGGAGCTTTCGGAGTCCTCGCTCAGCGGCAGCTTGGACCCGCCCTCAATTCCCTGTTCTCAATTCCCTCCTCAATGGGGTCCCCCCCTTGCCTGGAGTCAGTTCGCATCCCCAGAACGTGAAGATCCCCGTCTCCGGGTACCCGCCTTGGCATCTTGGGCTCAGAAAACACCCCACCCCCCTCTTCCCACCAACACCCCCCAGCGGGAAATTGGGGGCGGGGACATGCCAAGGGGTGGCAGGTACTGAAAGGAGCTGGGAGGGGCCTTGCCGGAGGGACTGCCCAGCCTAGGAAATCTGTGCCTCTGTATTGGACGCCCTCTTAGGGAGACACAGGGAAGGTACCCAATTCCTTTTGCCGCGGGCGACATCGGCTACTTCCCGCAGCCCCAAGTCTACCGCATACTGGAGTCTCCTACGCTGGGTTTAGGAGTGACTCCACGACAGCCAGTGCCTTCCCAGAGGATTCGGACGCCGGGCCTCAGACCAGCTGGGTGGAAACAGGGGCGCTTCTAGCACCCGCAAGGGCAGCCTTGCCCCTCCCCCTGTGCCTGCCAGGCCCTGGTCTTTACATCCTCACCTCGATGTCCACACTGTGGTTGGAGAGTGGGGAGAAGGGCAGTTGGAACATTGCAGAGAAGGAGTTATGGGAAGGCCGGGAGGGATCTGGGAAAGGAGGGTTGGCTCACTGCTCTCCAGGCTTGGAAGCGTCCTTGTGAAGTCCCCTGTGTCCAAGCCCCCGCCTCCCAGTAGAGCCTCAGGGAACCTGCCTGTTTCTTTTTTTTCTTTTTCTTTTTTTAAAAAAGATGACCGGTAAGGGGATCTTAACCCTTGACTTGGTGTTGTCAGCACCACGCTCAGCCAGTGAGCTAACCGGCCATCCCTATATGGGATCCGAACCCATGGCCTTGGTGTTATCAGCACCACACTCTCCCGAGTGAGCCACGGGCCGGCCCAACCTGCCTGTTTCTTTTTTTTCTTTTTCTTTTTTTAAAAAAGATGACCGGTAAGGGGATCTTAACCCTTGACTTGGTGTTGTCAGCACCACGCTCAGCCAGTGAGCTAACCGGCCATCCCTATATGGGATCCGAACCCATGGCCTTGGTGTTATCAGCACCACACTCTCCCGAGTGAGCCACGGGCCGGCCCAACCTGCCTGTTTCTGAAGGAAGAAAACCTACTTCCCCTTTGCTTCTTTGCAGCTTTGCCTGATTTCCTGGGGGACTCCAGGCTCTAATTTCTCTACCTACACAAAGAGGAGAAGGACCATCTGTGTGGTGAGGGCCCTCCCTGAGGGGTGATGGGTGCTATACTGCCAAAGCAGGGGTGAAGCTGGCCTTCATGCTGACGACCACCCCTCCCTCCAAGGCTTCGTGGTACCCAGGGCCTCAAGGACAGTTGTCTCCACCTTCCTAGGGACCATCCTCCCTCAGCCTTCCCCCCTCATGCCAGCCTTTGAAGAGGGTGCTCTGCCTCCTCCATATCCTTAATGATGAACAGCCCAAGAGATGGCAGAGTCCTCAAGCCTAGGAGGCCCGGCCTTGGGGCTGGAGTGGGGCTGCAATCCTGAGTCCAGTCTCACAGGGCTGGGGCTCTTGCTAGCTGCGCAGTCGTCATTCTGGGTGGGCGACTCTTGGAACGAGCTGCTTCTACCAGGGCCACATCCAGTTTGCTAGAAATAGAGACAGAGGGCTTCTTGACTTTGCATATGATTTGCATAATGTCATAGACACAGTCTATTTTCAGGCAGTTTTCAGGTTAAAGTGTTGTCACTGCTGCCCTGTGGGTGTCATGTCTGGATGAGTCTCTGTTCTTTCTCACCCACCCACTCTTACTGACCTACATCCCCAACTGCAGGAGCAAATGGTGAGGCGGGGGGAGAGTGGGGCTGTCCAGGAGACACGGGGACAGGGCAAGAGGCACACTGGAATTACCTTCATTACCACCATCGTCAAAAGCAGAGTCTGGTTGCTCAGTGGCAACTGATAGGCAGAAGGAAGGACGGGAAGTTAGGTGGGCCATCTTTCTGCACAAACCTTTCCTACCTCTCCTATCAGGAGAACAGCCAGTTCCTGTACTCTCTATTCAGTCTTCTGCCAGTTTGAAGAAAGATGTCTAGATAGATAAACCTGTTCTTCTCAGCCATCCATGCATGAAACCTTGCTTGGCCCAAATATTCCTCATGGGCATTTATTTTCAGCACTAAGATTTGATCTTTGCCTCCTGGGACAACTGACCCTCAGTCTGTCCCTCTCCTAGGAGATGCATATAAGATCAGAATTCTAGTCTGATGATCAGTATTTTTAAAGCACCTGGTCGTTCGGTGCTAGAACCCCCTACTCCCCTTCCTTTCGAAGTCTGTGCCAAGCACCTAATTGTCTCAGACTTGGATGCCAGACACAGGCACCAGCCTCTGAGGGCCCAGAGGCAAATGCACTAGAAGGGCCAGTTGGGATGACTGTCACTAAGTTGTCTGTGACCTCAGCAGGTCACTTGGCCTCTGCTTACCTGGAAAGGAGGGGATTGGTGGAGATTAGGGGCAGACAGTTCTCCTCATATCCTTATATCTTGAGCTGTTTGGTGACCTATCCTTGTTCACAGAAGGTCAGGGCCGGGGCCTGACAAGGGGCCCCATCCTGCAGACCCTCTGGCCTTGGAGCCTGTCTGGTGTGCTATCTTCTTGTGTAGATCAAAGGCTTCATCAGATGCCACAGCAAAGAGCCTGTGAGTCTTATTGGGTCCTGGGAATCATGAGGCCACTCCGTCAGGCTGCCCAGCAGCAATGCTCTACCCAGAATTCCCAGTCCCCGAGTCCAGTCTCCCGACCTGCCTCATCCCCTCAGGCAGGCGTTTCCTGTTGATAAGAAGCTCAGTCACAAACACTGATAAAGAGATGAAAAAAGGAAATCAACAGGCATGGGTATAATGGGCATTTTGTTTGCCTTTTCTACCCCTCTTCCTTCTCCCAGCAGCACCCCCCAAACTGCTTCCCAGAACTGAGGAGAAAACATGCCTCCCACCTCCACTGTGGGCCCTATTTTATAGTTTCCAGGAATTTAGCCTGAAGACTTACATAGCCCTCAGAAGCGGGGCCTAGCTCGGCCTGAGCTGGGATAGGAGCCCAGAGGCTGGAAGCACTGGGTGCCATAAGGCCACTGAGCCCAGGGAAAATGGCAGTGGCAGCACGAAGGACAGTTTGGCGCAGGTCGCATCTACAGCCTCCCACCCCTGCAGAGGACTGGATCCAAGTCGTGGTTAGGTGGCCTGATAGACTATAATTAGCAGATTTTCCATAATTTTAGTCTTGGGCACATTACTGGAAAATCTCATTAATTTTGACTGTACTAATTTGGAATCTATGAACCTTCAGGACAAGAAGCTAAACTGATGTTTAGAAAAATAAACAAGTTTTCAAGGTATGTCCTACTGCCCTTCTTGGGTTTGGATTTGTAAGCTCATCTTGACAAAGGCAGTTTTTCTAAAGTGCTCGGCCTGCTGTTAAGATAAGCTGCCACCATGCGGGTGATGAGGTTTTGCCTGCCACTTGTGCTTCAAGTAGTCATTGCTCAGGGACAGAGGGCATTTTAAAGATTTCATATTCAGTAATTCTTTTTCCATCTTCCCTGGAGATGCAATTCCTTAATTAAACAGTTAGGCAAACATAAAGAAATGGAATAGATGGTTCTAAATGGCCAGTGTTAAAACCAACAGCCATATACAATGTGGAGACTCTGTCCTGAATTCTTTTTTTTTTTAAACAAAAGATGACTGGCAAGGGGATCTTAACCCTTGACTTGGTGTTGTCAGCACTACGCTCTCCCAAGTGAGCCATGGGCTGGCCCTCTGTCCTGAATTCTTAACTGTTTCCAGTCCTGGTTACCACCTAGCCAGAGCCTTATCCTGGCTGCAGGCAGAGTAGCAAAGAGCAAAGAGTTTTATCCCAGTCAAAATTCTAGCTGTTATTTTTTTCAAAGTAACTCAACAAATTTATTCTAATTTTTATATGCAAGAATATAAATTCATGAAGAATCATGTCAATGCTTTTCTTATTTTAGGTTATTCTTTGAATAAGTTATGCATTCACATGATTCAAAAACAAACCTGTCAAAGGTAGACAGTGAAATGTCTCCCTCCCATCCTTGTCTCCTATCTGCCCAGGTTCTTTGAGCCCCAAAGAAACCACTAATCTTAATTTCTTATGCTTCTGTCCTTCCAGAGCATCTTTATATGTACTCAAGTGAATGTGAATATGGACCCTTGTCTCCCTATCCCTTATACAAAAATAGCAGATTACATACACTGTTCTGCACCTTACTTTTTTAACTTAAAAATATATGTTAGAGAACTGTTCATATTAGTACATAGACAGCTTTCAGGTTCTTTTACACAACTGTATAGTATTCCACTGTTTGAATGTACCATAATTAAACCAGTCCTCTATTTTTGGAAGTTTTAGTTTCCAATTTTTGCCGTTATAAACACTGCCACAATGAATAAACTTGTACATGCATCACTTTGCTTCATTCAAGTATACCTGTAAGATAAATTCTAAAAAGTAGAATTCCTGGGTCAAAGGATATGTGAATTTGGCCAAGTCAATTTTGAAGAAGTGGGGGAAACTTGTTCTAGCAGATAATAAGACATAAGAGTCACAGAATAATAGAATAACAGACCAGTGGAACATAATAAAGAACTCAGAAATAGATCCATATACACCTGGGAACTGACATGTGATAGAGGCCGCATCAAAAGTTAGTGAAGAAGATGGCAAAGAGATACAGGTTTTTTTGAGGGGGTTTTGAAAGTGTTCTGAAATTATTGTGATAATGGTTGTAAAATTCTGTGAATATACTAAAAGCCATTGAGTTATACACTTTAAGTGGGTGAATTGTAAGGTTTGTTAATTATATCTCAATAAAGCTGTTAAAATATTAGTGAAGAAAGTCTAGATTGTTTAGACAGTGTTGGGAACACTGGATCACTGTTTGGATAGAAAATGCAGTTGGGTCTCTACCTTACATCATTTACAAAGATGGATTCCAAATGGATTAAGGACGAAAATGTAAAAGGCAAAACTATAAGGCTAATAAAAGAAAGTGTAAGAGAACTTTCTTTTGGTTGGGGAAAGAAAGAAGACACTTGAAACTGTAAAACAAAAAAAAATACGATATGACTATATCAGTTCACTCTTCACCTATACACAATAAATAAATTTAACGTTAAAATTAATCAAATTAATAGCTAGATGGTAGGCTGGAAGGAGATATTTACAATTCCTAAAACTTTTGAGCCGTTAATATCTACCATATATAATAATATAAGAAACTACTGTAAATCAATAAGATCCAATAGAAAGATGGAGAAAAGAAGTGAAGAGTTAATTCGTCAAAGAGGAAGCCCAGATGTCTAAGTAAGGAATGTATGAACTCACTAGTATTGAGAAATGTACATGTAAATGACATACCAACTAGCATCCATCAAAATGGCAAAATTAGAAAAGTGAGTAATGCCAAGTACTGACAAGGGTTTGGGGAAATAGGAACTCTTGTGCAGCTCTTGTAGAAGAATAAACTGGTAGAGACTTTTTTGCATTACTGTATTTAGTGAAAGTGGGTGTGCCTAAGCCATCTGACCTCATGGATTCCTGTGTATATATCTCAGAGAAATTCTCGTACAAGTCCATAGGTGACATGCATGAGGGAGTTCGTCACACTGTTGCCTGTGGTAGCAGGGAGTTGGAGCCAACCTTGGTGTCCGTCCCTGGGGGAATAGATAAGTAAAATGTGGATGAATCTTTTAGAATATGATGTCATCCATTGGTAGCAACGAACTAGGTAGATATACAGCAACATGGATAGATCTTAAAAATACAGAACTGATTGGCAAAAAAGAGAATGAAGGTTATAGCACAATGACTATTATGTAAGTTTAGAATGAATACATATTCAAAACAATATTACATCCTTAACAAAGACATGCACATATTTAAAGACATGGAGCAGGCTCACAAGAGTGCCTGTGGGGTGAGGGGTGCAAGATAGGTGGAGGTTGAAAGGGGGATTGGAGAAAGAGCTGGAAAATGAAATCCAAGAGAGGCCTTGCTGCTTTGCACAGGGTGAGGATGATAACCTGCTACCGTGTGATTAACCTGGGACCCACAGATGGCAAAACAACAAAAAAAGACTAACAACCGCAGAGGTGAGTCCTGACTCAGCCACTCATGAACTTGTGATCCTGGGCACGAAACAAAACAGAACCTCCAGGGACTCAGTTTCTTCATTGTTACTTATTTATTTACTTAGTTACTTTGGTGGCTGGCCAGTTCGGGAATCTAAACTCCTCACTTTGGTTTTGTCAGCACCATGCTCTAACCAGTTTCCTCAGCTTCCAATGGGGATAATACATAAGGTGGTTGTGAGGAATTGTGATCACATTGGGCAAAGGGCCTGGCCAGACTTGTTCAATAAATGATAATAATAATACCAATGACGATATGCTATCCTTGCCCACAGGGCTTGTGGCTTCAGTTCTGCAGAGCTGCAGGCCAGCGTGGTGTCAACACCTCCTGCTTTGCTCCCCAGCCCCGGCTCTCTTATCTTCCTGGCCTCCCCATCTGGGCAGCAGCTAATAAGGAGACATTTGCAAGACAAGTTGAAAGCCTACAATTACATGTATGTATATGTATATTTCTACATTTATATTTATTTATTTCAATTAGGAAAAAGCTCCTCATCCTCTCCTCTCTGGCTGCCCCCTTTGGATCAATACTTAGTTAGGTCTTTTGAGAAATTAAATTTATATTCACGTCCCACTGTTTCCTTAGAAACAATCTCTTGCAATCAGATCTGCTCTCTGGTGGAAATGGCCTTTGGAAAGCGTGTGCAGCCCACAGTTGCATAGTCTTACCTTTGCCAGAAACAGTTTTCTGCTGTAGCCGATATCTCTTCCAGAAAAAAAAAAAATTAACTACATTTAAGCAGACTTAACAAGGCCTTAAAATAGATATAAAGTGGTTTCACCCATCAAGGGGAATACTTAAAATACTAAAGTACTGTTTTTAAGCATAGTCAAGTACTTCAGAAACACTCATTTACATTGCAAACAATTTCTATGCTAATTACAAATGACTCTTTCCCAACCACTAGGTAATATTTTGTGTTACTGTATGTACCTGAAATGAATAAAATTACTTCTCTTTCTTCTCTTTTCTTTTTAAACCAATATTCATTCATTCAAATTGGCCTTTCCACAATTCTTCAGATTTACACTTTTATTGTATTTCAGGATTTGAGAATTTGATTCCATAATACTGAGGTAAAAACACAAAAACAGATTCATCACACTTCTTTAAATAAGAGGGTTGTGACTCTCAGATCCTCCAATAAGTCTCTTTCAAACTTTCTATACTTCGACAACTGAACCCCCCACACCCCACTGATTTTGCTTCTTATTTATTAGTAGAGAAAATGGAAGCCCTAGGATGCCCTCAACTGTGAACACCAAACCTATAAACTTACCTGCACCTCCATCTCTCCTTCCTCCTCCCTGTCGGGTCTCCCTTTTAGGTTCCTCACTCTTCTGAATAAACCCTCCACTAACCCTTCTCTTCCTTTTGGGTCCTTCCCACCAGGGTGTAAACTTGCTGCAAACAGAAACCCTCAAACCCACACCCCCTCCAACCACCCTGATCTCGCTCCCCTCTCCCCCCGCTTCACGGTCATGTCTATTGGGAAAGTCTGCTTCCTTGTCTCCCACTCACTCCTCGGCCCACTACCTTCTGGCTTTGCCATGGAAACTGATCTCTTAGAGGTTACCACTGGCCTCCTTGTTGCTAAATCCAGTGGCCCCTTCTCAGTCCTTCCTTATTTAACTGATTTCTCAGCAACATTTGGCACTGCCGACCTCTCCCCTTTCCTACCACCTCTTGGTCTTCCTGTCACATGGCTGGTCTCCCTCCTCCAGCTCCTTCTCTGACTTCTTTGCAGGCTTCTCTTCTCTGCCTCTCCCTTAAATGCTGGTGTTCTAGGGTTCTGGCCCCAGTCCTCTTCTCCCTCTACACACACCCCCTGGGTGAGCTCATCACACCTTGGCTTTGATGCTCGATGATGCCTTTCAAATCCTTGCCTTAATCCTGACCTCCAGACCTCGGGACCCAGCTCCTTCTGGGTGGCTCCTTGGAGTGTTGCCATGCACCTCAAACACATCATGTCTGAAACAGAGCTCCCCAAACCTGCTTTATCCCCGATGTTCAGGGAATGGTAGTACTAGCCAAACACACACATGAGATTCCTCCAAGACTCCCTTCTCCCTATTACCAGCGGCCCCCCACCCCCAATCAATCAATTGAACACAAAGTCTGATCCATCCTAACTCCCAGTGATCTCTCAACTCGACACACCTCTCTCTGTCCCCACCCAGATCCCAGCCACCAGCACTCTCACCTTGGTTAGTGGGACTTCCTCCAGGTCTCCTGCATCCACGCTGACCCCTCCAGTCCATCCTTCACACTGCAACTGGAGAAGTCCCTCTAAAACACAAATTGTTATTCCATAATGCTCTCTGCTGAATGCCACCACTCTCAGGTTAAACTCCAGACTCCCTTGTTCACAGGCCTTTATTGCTTGACCTGAGCTGGCCCACGTCTCTGGCCATGTCTCCCCTACAGCCCCCTCCCCCTTTGTGTTCCAGCCCCATTGAACTTCCTCTTTTCAGCTCCTTAGACCCCTGGTTTCTTTCTGCCTCCAGGCCTTTGCACATACTGTCCCATCTGTGTGGGACGCTTAGCCTGGCTGACTTGCATTTATCAGTAAATGTGTGGGTGGTGTGATGGAGTGGGCTTTGGAAAGAGGAAGACATGGGTTTGAATTCCAGCTCTGTCCTTTCCAAGCTGTAGAACCTTAAGCCTGTCAACCAACTTCTCTGAGCCTGAGTCCTCATCTGTAGAAAGAGGCATAATAACACCTACTACATCTAAGGTACATTGATTTTTCTTTTCAGTCACCTGACCCACCTCCACCCATTTACTCTCACCAGAACTGCCCCTTCTTCCCTAATCATATGGGGACAGTGGTGGTTCCCAGCAGCCATGTTTGTAAACATGATGCAGCCCACTCCCCATGGATATTGGGCCAGAAGTTGGCACCTGACCCAAGCTGGACCATCAGTCCCTACCTCCCAAATTAAAGACTGGAACCTAAAGAGAGTCACACTGGACTCCTTTTCCCGTGTGGCTAGACTGACTGTAGACCCAACGGCTGTCAGTAGCTGTGTGTTCCCATGTGGCCGGGAAGCAGAGAAAGCTGGTCTGCATAACAGTAGATGGAAGCAGATACATGGATGAAGCAAAGGCCTGGAGAAGAGAGGGTGGCAACAGAGAAAGGGTCTTGTACATTTGACATCCTGGTTCCAGTGACTGACTGAGACCAGCCAGACTGAGCCTGTGAGAAACTGGCACCCTTAAACTGAAAAAGAAAAAAAAAATTTCTTCTTAAATAGCTAGATTAGATTTCTATTACTTGAAACCAACAACGTGCTAAGTAATTTACCTAACTTGTAAAAAAGTTATTGTGAAAATTAGAAATGCGGTATGTACATGTATAGGAGATATTCAATAAATAAAAATGGAATTATAAATACACAATCAATGGATGAATGAGGAGAGAACTCAGGAAGGGACGATGGAAATCTCTGCACTTGTTTCTCTGCAACAGTCACAGAAATAGGGCCAATCTTAGCCTGTATTATCCCATGAATATAAATTTTTTTTTAAATTGAAAAGGCAAAGTATCAAACTTTGGTAATTTTGAAAAACAAGGAAAAAAGTACACATAAACTCACCCCACCAAATTGAAGCAAATATTTTTGTTACATACATACTTTGCATACTTATAAACATGGTGTACATTCTGTTTTGTGTCTGGTATTTTTCACTTAACATATCGTAAACATTTTAATATTTCTACACAGACTTTATAATCATTTTAATGGTTGTACAATATTTAATACAGAGTATTATGTAATTTATTAAGCCATTCTCTATGTGCTTAACAGATGTGCTTTCTGTTTTTTTCTGTCATAAATCATGCTGCTATGCATATCTTTGTGGATAAGGGAACTTTAAATTAGCTTTTATTGATTGTTTTAGTTACAAAAGTAATATATAATCATCTTTGAAAATGTTGATGATATGATCAAGAAGAAAATATTTGTAATTTGACCACCCAGAGGGAACTCTTATAAACATTTTGCTAAATATCCTTCCAGATCTTTTTTATGCATTTTTTAACAAATATTAGATTATATCACACATATTTTATAGCCTTTTTTCCCCACCTTAACTGTATATCATAAACATCTTTTCGTGTCATTAAATACTTTTCTATAACCCTTTGTATGGATGTAACTTACATGAACAATTCTCCATTTTTCAACATTTGTTTCCTGTATTTTACTGTTTCAGGTGAAACTGTGATGACATTCCCAAGTCGAATTTTTTTTTTTTTTCCTTTTTGTCTTTTTTTGTGACCGGCAATGGGATCGCAACCCTCAGTGTTGCTCGCGCACCTCACTCAGCCAGTGAGCGGCCGGTCTGTATGTGGGATCCGAACCCTCGGCGGGAGTGCTGCTGCGCTTCCCAAGCGGCACACTGTAGCAGTGCGCCACCGGGCCGGCCCCCCAAGTCGAATTTTTATGCACATGTCTGTTTACAGTATTTCCTTAGGAAGAATTCTTGCAACTGGAATTGTAGGGTCAAGAAGCATATGATATCCTTGGGATAATTTCTGGGAGTGGAATTATGAGGTCCAAGTTCATGAAATTCTTTAAGGCTCTTGTGCTGCTGTTCTGCTCTTTAAAGTTACAAAAAAGGCTGCCTTAAGTTTCAGTAGTGGAACTTTAGCTGTGGAGGAGAGGAGAGTGGCTTTTTGTCCTCCCAGAATCACCTCCCAACGAGAGACAGAGGGAATGCACTGGGTTATCGGGACCAACTCTTGGCTCTCTTCCTCCCTCCCCACACCCCTGCAAGGCAAGCTCCCCAGCAATCCCAGGCATTTCTGGGTTATGGCAAAGATCAAACGACTTAGGTTCCAGGTGTTGGTTCCACATTTTACTGGTTAAATGACTCAGGAAATCACTTCGGTGCTCTGAGACCTCAGTTTCCCCACCTGTTAAGTGAAGCTAATTGTACCTACCCTGGAGATGCATCATTTGTCTCGAAGGTCGAGGAGTAATAAATCAATTAAAGCCCTATTCTAAGCCATGCATTTGCTCAGTGTCACACGGAAATAATGGTGTTCAGCACTGGGCTCTGTTTTTGAAAAGATGATAGAGAAATGGTGGCAGAGAGTGTGGATCATGGGATTTTACCGACCCAGCCAGCAGCTTCATTTGGGGGCCCACTGAGCACTTAGCAGCAGGTGGGGCGAGGGCGGGAATGGGCCTCCATAGATAGACTCCCCCACTGGCCCCTCACTGTCTGGCTCTATTTTGGGGCATTAAAATATTGGCTAGCCACTATTGTAGTGGCTGCAATAGCAATGGTGGGATTCTTTCGCCCTAATCCACAACCCCTTTCTCTCCCAAACCCAGGTGGCCTCTGTAGGTTCCCATGACAACAGCAAGCCTGGGAAGGACCAGCCTGGGGAAAACCAGATTTTACTGTAAAAAAAACTAACCAGAAGCCACAGGCAGGGCAAGCTGAAACAGCAGCTCTGCAGTGGGGCTGGGTCCTGGGACAAGGACCACACAGGTGTGAGCAGCAGCTCTACACTAGGTGCTGGCACGTTTTGAGCACTTACTATGGCCAGGTACCATTAAGAGGGCTGTGTATATATATTGACTCATCTCATCCTCATGACACACCTATGAGGTGAGGATACAGACATATGGGGAAGTTAGAAACTGGCAGTCTGACTTCAGCGCCTGCACTATTGACCTCTCGGAAGTTGTAACTCTCATTTCTACACCCTTTGGCAATTGAAAAAGGACAGTTTCATTCTGTTCTCACAAAAATTTTGCAAGGTTAAAAATTATTATTCCCAGGGGCTGGCTATTAACTCAGTTAGTTAGAGCTCAGCCTTATAACACCAAGGTCATGGGTTAGGATGCTTGAACAAGCCAGCTGCAA